TCTTGAGTAAACGGAATATATGGAGTGTAATTTTAGTAGTAATAGACCTAGTGAGGGGATTGTTACTTTGGGCGATCAAGTCATTAATAAGAGTACACGTTTTAGATATCTTGGATCTATTGTTCAGTGTGAGTGAGAAATAGATGGGGATATTATCAGCAGAATTTAAGTTGGATGGTTGAAGTGGAGGAATGCATCGGGCTTGTTATGTGATTGAAATGTACCCCTCAAACTTAAGGGAAATTCTATAAGATGGTAGTGAGGCCTGCAATGCTTTATGGTGCCGAATGTTGGCTTTTAAAAGAGAAGCATAATACTAAGTTAATTGTGACAGAGATGAGGATGCTCAGGTGGATGAGTGGCTTTACCCTTAGAGATAGGATACGAAATGAGCATATACGTGAAAAGGTTGGAGTAGCTCCAGTAGAAGATAAGATTAGAGAAAGTCGCCTTAGATGGTTTGGTCACATAAAACGGCGGCCTTGTTATGACCCGGTTAGGAGAGTAGAGGTATTAGATTTGACTTATGTTAAGAAAGGTAGGGGTAGACCTAAAAAAGACTTGGTTAGAAAATATTAGGAATGACCTTTCTTTATTAGATTTAAACTAGAATTTGACTTTTAATAGGACACAATGGAGAAAAAGGATTCATGTAGTCGACCCCACGTAGTGGGATAAAGGCTTGATGTTGTCCTATAAATAGTTGTGATTTATATTTGTAAGGGGGGTCAATCATTTGTGTAAATGCAGTGCTTTTTAGAGTACTTCTTTAGTTCCCTCTTAGAGTAAGATCCAAGGGAGGCTATGGAAGTAAAAGATACAATCATTTAGAGTATTTAGCCTATATTTTATTAAATCAACTTTATAAGTTAAAGAGAGGAGAAGTGCATAGGAGATACTTTGAGCCTTTCTGGTGATATCACTCTCTTATATTTTTATTCTTCCATGAATTTAATACACATAGTGACCATATATATAGTTAAAATATAGTGTGATGTGTAACCTCGATAAACGATTATAAGAATAACTAATGATATTGAGATAGGATGTTTGTATGCCTAAACATAGGATGAAATATTCTAGGTTCTTAAGGAGATATTATAACTATAGGAGGTCAACATATATCCTTTGAACCCCTACAAGCTCGGCAAAGATCAAGTAAAGCATATGCTCTGAATCACGTCTCTAATTAAGAGTTTCATTATGAAATGTATAAATTTTCATTCAACATTGTAAAAACACGTTTATTGCATATTATATCAAATATTTTTACTATTTTATTCAGTGATAAAAGCTCCACAAATATTATTTTTATTTTAATAAGATAATTATTACGATTAGAGTAAATGGTAGTAGTTTGTTGCAAGTAAATATACTTCATTGTGGGCTCAACACTCTACTCTATCATTTTGTTAGTTAATTTGACATGTATACTTGCATATATTAAGTGAGGTTTATTATTTTTATATCAAAGAAAACCTAAGTATTGTTTAGGGGTGATTGAGCCCTAGATTTTTATACAATTCAAAAGTTAACTCCATGGCACGCACCCCATCACAATACTCTTTGCCTTTCTTTATTGGATTTACTTCAATATTGCTAGATAAGGTACCATGATGTCTATTATTCATTGAATTAGCTAATTTCCCTAATTAATTTTTTATATTTCTTATGGTAGTAGTTTGGCTATGCAATTAAGCCCCCATTGCAATAATAAATTCAATAATGAGGGCATTTTATATTTAAGTTGGTTATTAGAGCTAAACATGGAGTATATTTAGGTCATGAATTTATAAATTTTATAGAGGGTGATTCTAATTCCCTATTAGAATAGTTTATTTTTTTTCTAATTATTAATCCCTATATTTTGCTTATTAGTCCATTTAAAGTTTGGGTGGTTTTTCTAACTAGGATTATATGTTTTAGAGTGGGGGTTATTAAGTCTATTGTTAATTAAATTCAAATATTTAACTCCTAAAGAGCATGATTTAGTTAATTGCCCATACATAATTTCATCAGTAATCATAGGTGCTCCCTAATTTGAATTCATTCCTAAGTTACCTAATTTTCTAGAATTTTAGTAACTTAAGAAGTAAGAATAGATAACACATCTGCATCATGTACATTGATAACCTTTTAGGGTGAATCCTTCTAGAAGGCTATCAAAAGTTATTAGCAGCAATCTCTTTAATTAAATAATATGATTCATCAAATGGTTTAGACATCAAAGAAACCTCCAATAATAGCATTTATTATAAATCAAAGTGAACCTAATACCCCATTATAAAATGTTTGAATGATCAACCAATTGAGTAAGGCATGAAGAGGACACATCCTTAACAATTCTTTGATCATTTCTCATGCTTCATAAATAAACTCCCCATTTAATTGAGTAAAGAATCTGATATCATTTCTAAGCTTAGCTATTTCTTATAGAGGAAAATATTTAGCGAGAAATTTTTATGCTATGTCATTCTAGATGGTTATTGAGCTTGGGGATAGAAAATGCAACCACAACTTTACTTTATTTGTCAAAGAAAGGAAACAACCTTATTCTAGTAGCATCATTAGATATACCATTGTATTTAAAGGTTACACAAAATCTCGAAGAAATATGTAATGTATAGATTGGGCTCCTCAATAAGATATTCATCAAATTAGGAATTTTATTCCATCTTGATAATGAAAGGTTTTAATTCAAATTTATTTGCTTGAATAGTAGGTATATTTATACTTTGATGGATTACATATACTCTCAAAATCTAAAGGTACAATGGAAAAGGGTTCTCTGTAATGCATGCACCAACTAATACAATTATTGATACATCCTACTAACATAATTAATTATGACACAAATTTCATCCAATTTGAAACAAATTCAATAAGAAAAAATAATATAGATAAATCACTAACTAAGAAAAACAACAACACAAGATTAAATCCGTGATATTGAAATCAACATATACTCAATAAAAATAGTTATTTATTCCCAAAAAATGGTGTCAAAAACTTAATCTAGGGTTTGCACAAAGTGCTATGCAAGTGGAAATGTCATCTAAGTAATATAATGAATGAGAAAAGTATCATTTCCACAATGAATTAATAAATTGATCTTATAAGCAAATTACCAATTTTATCAATTACAATATTTCTCTTGCCTAAAGGGAAAAAATTTACCTTTTTCTTTCATAATTATGCAAAAATAACCAAAAATCATTTTATATTTTTCAATGTATAATAAACTTTTAAACTTATGATTGATTTGATGAATATGTAAGATATAGAATGATCTATTTAATTTAACTGTGGACCAAAAAATAAGAAATTCATAGACACGATCGAGTTTCTTAGAATTCTAGTAAATGAATGATTAAAATTTTCAAATCACTATTTTAATGTATGATAAATTTCCCATTAGAAATCCCAAAGCTCCTAAAATACATATGTTTATGCTTTTATGAATTCTTTTCATGCTACTCTATTTGTTCCACTATGCCTCTATTAAGGTAATAGATCACACTAATTGTTAATTTTATGGATGGCTAATTCACAACTAAATTATGTTTTGAGAAGTATCAAAAAAAAAAAAAAAAAAAAAAAAACTCTTACACGCCATTTGAAACTTATACGTACTCCACATCACACATGCTTCACCATATCAATCGTAAATTTATAATGAAAGAAATTAGCAACTAAGATTCTTTTCAATAAAAATAACAAACATAGATTTCGTTGATAAATAAACACAAAGTTCAAGAAATTAAGGTGATAGAGATAAAAATAGGAAACTCCTTGTAATAATTACAATTTCCACTCCACTAAAAGGCAATCTTGTTCTACTTGCACACCCACTCACTCCCACACTCTTCTCTACTCAAAAATTATAAGCAATAATATAATTAAAATGAAAAAATCCCATCCCCCCCCACTCCACAATTTATTCATCAATTTACACTTGAGCAAAAACTATTAATATGATGTTGTTGGGCACTACAATGTTCTAGTTAGTGGCGCTGAAAACAATACTATTGTTCTTTGGTCATTAGCATTATAATGCTTAACTTCTATTTTTCCTCAAATTTAAGTTTAAAGTGTTACGATGCTCGAGTGTGTGATGCATTGGTGCTTTACAAAATATGACAAGATTAAACCCTATATTTTTAACTAATAGTTACAAATAGTAAAATATTAGGATATTACTAGTAAAATTTATTATTAACAATTTATTCACTACCAAAGTATTAATATTATGATCCATAAAAATCAAGTTTTGCATGATTAAGAACATACAAAATGAATTCAAACATTAATATACATCTGGATTATTTGAGGACAATTAATAATTTAAGTTTGGAGAAGTAAAACAAATATAATATTAATATTATGAATTTATGTATGAAAAGTATTTAATTTATTATTTTATGTAGGAAATTCTCAAGGCGAAGGCCATTTGAAAGAATTTTTGGTGAAGTGCCATCTTGTCACACCATCAAACACCAAAACACTTAAGGCAGAAATTTGCGGGTCAAAATAGATAGTTTAACGCCGCAACGCTAATCCCATAAGTAATAAAATAATCTGAAAAAGAAAATTATGACGCAAATACAAATAGTGCAACACTTTAACACTAGTTCCCTAAGCATTGTAGCCCCCTAAAAAAGAAATATTAAATGTTCTAGATAGAGAAGGAAGCACCACAACACGAAATCTGCTCAATGTCATAGTTCAAACTCACCTACCAAGAGCACCACGTTACCAAACCACCCAAGCACCTAGTGGTATATGGTCTAGAAATTAAGCTGTGAAAAGACACATCGATTCACTGAGTGCATCGCAATGCTGGCTATCCAACAACACAATGTTATAGGATCATTTGATCTATTTTGAAGCTATTTTTTTAAGAATTATAAATACTAGTGCTCATTGTAGAAAGCGGCCTCTTAGGCTTCTTCTAACATTTTTCTTGTACTTTCTAGTGTTAGTGTGAGTATGTGTGTGGAGTGTGCAAGTGAATTTTGGGAACAATTTTTTTATAGCATGGTTATTCCCGATTCTTTAGTTTTAGCTTCTACACTCTTGTAATTTTTTCTATTTACTTAAAATAAAAGTACTATTATATTGTTTTGTTAATTACGCAAGTTAGTGGTAAATTTTCATATACTAAATTTATGAAGTGATAGGAAATTATGTGCCACATAGATTAAGTATATACTCATAAAATACAATTATTATTTCATGATTCTCCATTCTTCATTTAATTATGTTTAGGACAAAAATAAGTTTAAAACTTAGTGTGATCTACATCAATGATAAAGCCACAGAGGAACAATTAGAAAATCTTGAACAATACTCTAAAGAAACAAACATATGATTTTTATAATTTTGAAATCATTAAGCAGATTTTGTTCATGTAGAATTGATGAATTAGATAGAGAATTAGCCTAATTAGTCATAACTTCACTGGGATTCTAATAAACTCAATAGAATTGATGAATTAGATACGCACTAGTTCAAAATTAAAATTTTATAGACCAATCTATGCTCACATAATTATCTTATTACTCGTAAATTCAAATTCTTATAATTTTAGAAAATTCATTTTAAGAACATTTAGGTAAATTTTTACTTCATAAGAATTGTTGTCCTGGAATATTCACGACGATAGAGAAATATATAGTTTAGCATCTTAGCATTGTATGAAGACCAGCACACAAGCAGAAGAAAGAAATTATGTAGTGTTCTAAGAGACACCAGAGTTTTCATGTGGAACCCAGTAAATTGGGGGAAAACCATGGGGCCTAGCCCAATTTGAATGAATCCACTAATATTTTCAGTTGGTTATAAATGAGGCCCTTCTTTAGGAGAAAACTTCGAGCCTCATGTGGTCTGAGAAAACTTCGAGCCTCATGTGGTGCTCTGGTAAAAGTTTGGGCCTTAAGTGGTGGTTCGGCATAAGTCTGGGCCTTAGGTAGTGGACCGATAGCAGTTTGGGCCTCAGGTGGTGGTCTGATATAAGTTTGAGACCCGGGTGGTGGTCCAGCAGAAGTTTGGGCCTGAAGTGGTAGTCTGGCAAAAGTCTAGGGCTCAGGTGGTGGTCTGGAAAAACTCCATACATCAAGATGTAGTCCGGTAGAACTCCGGCCATCATGTGGTGGTCTGGAAGAACTTCAAGGCTTCAGTGGTGGTCCGACAGAACTTCAAGGCTCCAGTGGTGGTCCGGCAAAAGTTTCGGCTTCACGTGGTAGTCTGATAGAAGTTCGAGCATCAGGTGGTGGTCTGGAAGATGTCAGAGCCTCAAGTAGTGGTCTGACAGAATTTCAGGCCTTCGGTGATGGTCTGGAAAAAGTCTAGGCCTCACGTGCTGGTCCGACAAAACTCCGGGCGTTAGGTGGTGGTCCGACAAAACTCCGGGCAGCAGTTGAGGTAAAGAGGCAAGAGCAATTTTTGATCTCTTTCTTTTCTCTTTAGGCTTAGAGATCCCTTTTCAAGAGGAAGGAGGGGTCTATTTATAGATTTTCTAGGTGGCATGACCTGGAAATAGGTCGAAGATCAAGGTTAAATGGGAAGTGGTTTAGATGAACATTTGATGTTGAATCCCTTGATCATGAACTGTTTGTTAGACATTTAAAGCTCTTAATGATATCAAAATTAAGCAATATTATACTCATTGGATTTGCTCATCGAGCTGCTAGATTTGATTATAAGCATGTCATGTTTAGAAACTATTTGGTAATCCAAATTATGGTTTGAACCTTCAAATAGTTCTTTAGGTTCTCAATTTTTACCTATTTGAGCTCAGATTAAGTCGCATTTGGTGTCGTGGGTTTATATTTCTGAGACATTCATATATTCAGTTTGACTATAAGTTTGCTAAAATTGGAGTTCAAATAGTTCCAATTTTAATTTTGGAGTATTCCAATTTAATTTTACTTCGAGATTCATGCTCGATCAAGATAATTTTTTAAGTATGTATCAATTGCCCCCCTATTTTCAGACATCGAAGCTCTAGAAGTTTGAAAAATATGTGTTCAAGGCTTTGGGAAATTTTTTGTGTGATTTGTAATTCAAACGTAGTTTGATCTTGGACGTAGAGGTCATGAATTGCTCTAGAAGTGCCAAAATCAAGTCCGAGACGTCGAAAAATGGTTTTTGGGACCCAAAAATGTATGATTTGACCTTTTTGGGCCAAACATTAGGCCCTAAAACATGTCGGGATGGACAAGCTACCACCATCTGCTGCTGCGCTCGCGCACTGCCAGGGCATCCGCACGACTGCGTGGCCTGCCCGCATGCTAGTGCGCCTGGGCGCATCTGTACGCACTGCTTGGCATTGTCGCGCCCTGCCTGTGTTGCCCATACAGTGGTGCTCCACGTCTGGTGCCAACCACAATGATTGGTTTCGGTTTGCTGGCAGTTCAGCT